TGTTTTTCTCGTTGCCATGTTCCCACCAATAACGTAGCTCCATTTTCTGCCTTTAAAAGCACACACAACCCACAATTCCTCTATTCGCTCCGACGAAGGGCTAACGCTCGAAACGTCAGCTTTTGTAATCGTTACGGTGGCCAATTTACCATTTCAACTTTGTTGATATATCCAAATTATTTCGTTACCCCCACCGACGCAGCCCCAAATAGTTTCTTTAGAAACTATCAGGCTTTATTCATAGTAAGAGTAAACACAAGTAATCAAGACAAAGGCAAATATAAAAATGATTTTTTAAAAAAATTCTTCACTCAAAATGCTGGAGACCGTCGCACAGTCATGCTACTTACACTTCATCAGAGCACATGTCAGGCCTTCCCATAAGATAACCTGTCTTTAGTAGCTTACACAATTGCGAATTAGTTAACGTTGGGTAGGGAACTCCTCCTGTGTAGAATAAACGAAAATCATACCCGCAATGTAAAGTAAACAATTCCATCAGTTACTGAAGCAAAGGCTTTCAGTAAAGCTATGTAAAGGATGCCGAATTTTTCGTTGATTTTACTAAGTACACGACACGGTCCCTTTATATATAGGCATAATAGTAAAAGTTTCTAAAGTAATGCACTTACGGCAACTTTGATACAAAGCAGCAAGAGAAAATCATGGGAAATTATTTTCTCTTCAAAGGGCGAAACACCAATGTCATACAAGTTTTTGCAATGTTTAGAACAGATAACACAATTCTATGAGGTAGGCTTTACTTTTACGCTACGTTTCATCACAACAAGGTGCATGATTTTTTTGTCATGATAGGAAAAAAAATTAACCCGGTTCGAATTAGACAGACATACTGAAATACAGAAGCTGAGAAATCAAAGAGGATTTACCCATTGTGGCCATTTCCCATAAAAGCACCCCATAGGACCATCTGTGGAAAAAAGATGAAAGGTCTCCTTAAAAGCATATATACGACAATGCTTCTAATTCAAAGAAAGAAATATCTTTCCAATTAATGCTACGATAGGTCCAACAAATATTTGCTTCTCTTAGATTTGTTTGTTTCTTTTGTTTTGTTCTTGTTGCTGTTGTTGTTGTTTTTGCCTGTTTAGCCTTATTCATCTTTAGGTCTAGTCCAATTTTACGCACCTGATAATTTTTATTGAACAAAAAAGACACTATAAAGGAACATATACCTACACATCACTTTTGGTGGTAAAAACACTGTAATAGATAGATTCTGGAGCCATCCATTTAATGGGGAGTTTCTTTGTCTTTTTGATGGTGTAAACGTCTTCATATACTTGACGCATCAGCCCAAAATCTGACACTTTCACTCGATCATCATTGCCAACCAGAACATTACGGGCTGCAAGGTCACGATGGACAAAACCTCTGTCGGCAAGATGGTTCTGGGGCAAAAAATGGTAAACTACTTTTAAAAACTACTCAACATTGACACGACTTTGAAAAATCTTAATGCATCCTTTTCTTTTTGGTTTAACTTTCATTTGGTCTTCACAACTGACTTTTCATATCGTAAGGATATTCAGCAGATTTGAGAGTGGGAATGCTTTCATACGAAAAACAGCACAGTCGCGAAATTCACTTCAAGTTTTTCTACTACAGTGTGCTGCTAACACATTTTTTAACATGGTACTGCGCGATTGTCAGCTCCGGCTAAGAGGGAAAATTGCTGCTGGGTGTACAAGTCTGTCAATGGTCTCTGTCCATCATATGTTTCTGATCTACTCAAGATCAAGTTATCATCAAGGTCTTTACGCTCTAGCTCTATGCACTATCTTGTGCAACCTGTGTCAAAGACAAAGACCTACGGGGACAGAGCCTTTTATGTGTGTGCACCTAAGTTGCAGAACAGTATTCCTTTTTCAATCTGTAAATCTAGCTCCGTAGCTATTTTTAAACTGAGAACATTAAGACTTTTCTCTTTTCAAAATTTTTAACTAGTAATTCTCTTCTGTTTGATTGAATTTTACTTATGTG